ACGCTACCACTGCATGACATCACAGGGTGGAACAGAGCATTTTGGGGATGTAGACAGGACGTGGACACACTCCTCCACATGTTTGTTTTATTGACCGGCAATTGCAAAATAAAAAAATATATATCATAAAGCTCTCCCCCTTTCTCTCTCTCTGTCCTTTCACTTCTAACTCTCTCTCTCTCTCTTCTCTCTCTCTCTCTTTCTCTCTCTCTCTCTCTCTCTCTCCCTCTTCTCTTTCTCTCTCCCTTTGCCTCTCTCTCGCTCTCCCTTTCTCTCTGTCTTTCTTCCTTTCTCTCTCACTCTCTCTCTCTCCTCCCTTCTCTCCCTCTCTCTCTGCCTGTCCTGCCTGTACATTCCTTTTTCTCTCTCTGTCTCTCTTTGTCTCTCACTCTCTCTCTTCCACCACTGCATGACATCACAAGGTGGAACAGAGCATATTGGGTTTTGGAGAAAACACAACTCTGATGTTTTTTTTTTTTTTTCGATAATAACATGGCTTAAATCTCACAAGAATCCATTTTGTGTAAAATTCCCCAGATTACTTCAGGGGAAGGAATTACTTTACCCCCTGCAATGTCATTACCCATCAACATTTCTATACCATTAATGGGCAACGCCGGACAGACAGCAACAGGGAAAATGCCGGTAGCAAGTTCGGCCTGTAAATGGAGAAAATGAACAGCTCTACGTCTACGTCCCATGTCTATTCCCCGTAACACTGAGTCGTAGCCACAGGATGACTTTGAAGAAAACGGAAGAGCACTAGTTAAAATCACAGACTGTGAGCCACCAGTGTCTCTCAGGATGCGGACAGGGCGCTGATCAGGTGCTTCGCCAGGTAAAGAAACTAGTCCCTGAAAAATGAATGGCTCAAAACAGGAATCGGAGTTTTGCCTGGCATTGGGGACTAAGCTACACAGTTCAGATTTAATTAACCCAACGCCTTTTGTTTGGGGTGCGGACGAGTCCGCTTTTCTTTTGAGAACGGGGCAGTCAGCGATGAGGTGTCCAGGCTCGTGGCAATAAAAACATTCTCGTTCATCTAGCTTAGTTTTAACAGAGCTTACAGGCGAATTGGAACTACCTGATGCTGGGGTAAGCCCAGGCACCTTTTCGTCATAATTGGCCATGAAGGTTGATTTATGAGTTAACACAAACTCGTCCGCAGCATCTGACAGTGTTTTCACCTTCTGTTCGTTTAAATACACCACAACCCGATCCGGAAGGTTTCTCTTAAAATCCTCCAACAATATTAACTCTCGTAAGGAAGCGAAGTTCTGGGCCTTCGCAGAAGAACACCATTTGTCAAACATATTTCCTTTCTCCCGAGCAAATTCAATATAGGTACGGCCAGGGGCTTTTTTGTGACCTCTGAATTTTTGCCTATACGCCTCGGGAACTAGCTCGTAGGCGCATAAGACAGCACTTTTGACTGCGTCATAGGAGAGACTTTCAGTGAGAGGAAGTGCAGCGATAATCTCCTGTGCCTTGCCGTACATTTTACTTTGCACCAGGAGGGGCCAAACATCACTAGGCCAATTTAAAGCCGTCGCAATTCTTTCAAAAGCTGCAAAATATGAATCGACTCCCGGAATGTAGGAACAAGAGGAATACATTTACTTACGTCAAGCGTGGCACAGGTCTGAGCGGTGGAGGTGAGGGCAGGTGTAGCGAGTCCGGGGCTGGTAGGACTGGAAGGGAGGCGGCCTTCTGCCTCCAGCTCAAGGCGTCTGAGCTTCACAGCGGTGTCAGCCTCAATCTCAAGCTTTCTGATTTTTAACTCGAGCTCAGCTCTTCGATTCCTTTCTTTTTCCTCGGCTTCCATTTGGATGCGCGCCAGGCGCACCTTACGTCGAGCGGCATCCTTAGAGCCGGGAGAGGAGGGAGGCGAGAGGGGATTAAACCGGGGAAGCGTAAACGGTTGTTCGGGTCGTTCACCGGCCCCAGTAATCGAACCCTCAGGTCCAGGAGTACCCGGAGGTCTCCTCTCCGGCTTCGGGGAAATCGTGAGCACAGGCTTTAACGAGGGCACTTCTGAAGGTCCTCCAGCCTCAGGAAAGGACAGCAAGCCCCTCTCCACCAACTCATTCCTCACAAGCACCTTGAGTTCGTCTTTTCTCACCGTTTTGGGGTACCGAACAGCATAATATTCAGCAATAACTATTAATTCTTTCTTTTTACATCGGTCAATTCGGTCAATAGAAATATTATCAAGAAAATCCTGCAGATCGAATAAAGCCATTTTTAAATGCCCAAATACAATTACTTACCCTACACTTACTTACGTCTTTATCTGGTCACTTTTTAGACCGGGAATGGTTAAAATTCGATCCCGGACGAGCCCCCAATATGTTACAACCCAGTGCTAGGGACAAAGGAAAGTAACACAAACCAGATATGATATAAAGTAAACGGGTTTTATAAAGTGATGTAGGTAAGTACAATGACAACATAAAACGTTTTACATGTGAAAAATCTGAATTCCCCAAAGTTAACTAAACCACTCCTAAACTAAGGTAGCAACAGCAACAACAAAAACAACTGCCCAAGAGCCAAGCCAAACTGGCAAAATTAAAATTTGTAGTAATATAACACACTTTACAATATCAAAGAGACACAACTAACGAACGTCTTCAGATGTGAGGGGCGAACTGAAACTGCCGTCCAGCCGCCAGGAGGGACAGGCGCACTGCACTTTTATTGGTCGAGGTGATTGATGTGGAAGGATGTGGAAGGAAGGGATTGGAGGAACGGGACGTCAATCCTCCAACCACAGCACAAGGGGTGTCGGAGCCAGACCACAGCATCGGAACCACGGCCCACCAGTCAGACAGCAGGCACCACACAGGACATGCAAACACGGAAGATACACGCGGCAATACAAACGGGGAGCGCCAGGCGATGCGGAGCCGGAGACAGACCGCGAGCCGTAACAGTAACACTGACCCTTTAATAAACGCCTTAAAACACGGACACATTCCTCCACACTCGTCTCGTTTTATCGACTGGCGACAAAATCGACAAAAATAAAAAAATATACAGGAGAGATTTGTCCACATCACTGTTGTTTCCAGATGGTGCAGTTTATTCATGTGACACAGGGCAGCTCAGGTCAGACCAGAGCTGTGTGTGTGTGTGTGTGTGTGTCACCTCCAGGGCCTCAGAATACAGGTTTCAGATGACAAAACACACCAGAGACTTAGGCTACGTTCAGACTTCAGCCTGAAGTGACCGAAATCAGATTTTTTGGCCCCTATGTGACCTGTATCTGATCTTTTAATGACAGTCTGAACGACACAGATCTGATTTTTTTCAAATGCGACTCAGGATATGTGGTCCTAAAACCGATACATATCCGATCTTTTGACATGCGACTTCAGTCTGAACGGCCAAAACGCATTCATCCGACCTACACGTTATCAACAAGACACAAATGTCACTATTCTGCGCTGAAGTAGGCGAAAATTGTTAATGAACTCTGTGTCACTGAAGTGAAGCACACATCACCACTCTCTTGGCTACGTCTCCACATCCACACGTTCCTTTCAACGGACGTCGCTGCCTGCTGCCCACAAAACGCCACGGCCAAAAACCTCGTCCTTCTCCTTCTCAATCTCCTCCTTAAAACAAGTAAGTTGTTCATGTTCTGGCTCCGGTACGAGAGGAACTTTAAAATCTCCAGGTGCTCAATGCTCGCGTCCATGTTTGGACAACTTCTGTAAACACAGAGCTGCGGATGACGTCATCGTGTCTCCAGTGCACATGCGGGACATTTTCGGGCCGTTTAATGTTCACATTGGAGATCACATACAAGTCGCATTTAACTGGAAATGTGAACGACCTCGCAAAAACATCGGATTTCACAAAAAAATCTGAATTGAGCGTTAAGACCTGCAGTCTGAACGTAGCCTAAGTGACCTCCCTTGATGCGCAAAAAGCACTGAGTTGAGTACAATTTTTTTATTCACTACATTTAAAAAAAAAAAAAAGGATTTCGTCCTATTTTTTGCTTATGGATCAGTATTATCAGGCATTAATTAGAACAAATAAGGTCGTGTCTAACTTTTTTCCTCTTAACACAAGACCAAACGGACCTCATTGGACTCTTAATATTTGATTTTTTTTTTAAGTCTACAGGAAAAATGAGTGGAAATTTTACTTCCGGTTACTCTTGAGCTCCATATCAAAACACAAAACTGCAGAACACGTCATACCTGATATAAAGACGTCTCTCTCCTCTCTCCTCTCCTCCCCCGTGTCATGTGACCCGTCTGAACCCCGGGCTCACAGATAGAACAGCGGAGCGAGCGTCGCTAATGACAACTGTGGGATGACGTCGTCGTGTCTCCAGTGCACATGCGGGACACTTTCGGGCCGTTTAACGTTCACACTGGAGTCACATACAAGTCGCATTTAATTGGAAATGTGAACGACCTCGCAAAAACATCGGGTTTCACCAAAAAAATCGGAAGTGAGCGTTGAGCCCTGCAGTCTGAACGTAGCCTTCGAACGCTCAACTGAAACGAGGGATGTGTTGTATTCTTTAGTCATTTTTATTTACTTTATTCTTTCTTTTTTTTTTTTTTTTTTGGTTTAGATCAGACCCCCGGAAATGAATAAGTATCGACGCAATCTCCAAGCTGAATGGAAACTCTACATATTTTTGTGTGTTTGGATTTGAATAAAAGTGAACAACTGCTAATATGTGTTCACACTGCACACACTAAATCCAAACTGGGACTAGACCCAAAACTAAACTTGGACCAGACCAGAACTAAACCATCAAGTCTTGGCCAAAGTAGATTTAGTGTTTTTTTTGTTGTCGTGTGGTTCATGGGATTAGTCAATAACGGAAATGATCAGATTTACGTAAAAATATTTCAGCGGAAAGTGCGATGTGATAATAATGAATCGGAAAAACTGCCTCTTGCCCCCATCTGGGAGGATGACATCATCACATTCTTTGAAAACCAGCAATATTTTATAAACTGTCTCCAAAATCAGAGCTGCACAGACAGATGTGGGACTGGGGCAGATGTGAGGCTGGGGTAAATGTGAGGCTGGGGCAAATGTGGGACTGGGGCTGGTGTAAGGCAGATGTGGGACTGGGGTAGATGAGAGACTGAAGCTAGTGTGAGGCTGGGGTAGATGTAGGACTGGGGTAAATGTGGGACTGGGGCAGATCTGGGGATGGGGCTGGTGTGGGACTGGGGTAAATGTGGGACTGGGGTAGACGTGCGACTGCGGTTAATGTGGGACTGGGGCTGTTGTGGGACTGGGGTAAATGTGGGACTGGGGCAAATGTGGGACTGGGGCTGGTGTAAGGCAGATGTGGGACTGGGGTAGATGTTTGACTGGGGTAAATGTAGGACTGGGGTAGATGAGAGACTGAAGCTAGTGTGAGGCTGGGGTAGATGTGGGACTGGCCTAATGTTGGACTGGGGCTGGTGTAAGGCAGATGTGGGACTGGGGCAGATGTGGGACTGGCCTAATGTGGGACTGGGGCTGGTGCAGGACTGGGGTAGATGTTTGACTGGGGTAAATGTGGGACTGGGGCAGATCTGGGACTGGGGCGTGTGTGCGACTGCGGTAAATGTGGGCCTGGGGCTGTTGTGGTACTGGGGTAAATGTGGGACTGGGGCAGATGTGGGTCTGGGGTAGATGTGTGTCTGGGGTAGATGTGTGTCTGGGGTAGATCTTGGACTGGGGCTTGTGTGGATTGGGGTAAATGTGGTGCCTGGGTGGATGTGAGACTGGGGTAAATGTAGGACTGGGGCTCGCGCGGATTGGGGTAGATACGGGACTGAGCTGGTGTGGGCCTGGGGCAGATGTGAGCCTGGGGCAGATGTAGGACTGGGGTAGATGTTGGACTGGGGTAAATGTGGCGCCTGGGTAGATGTGAGACTGGGGTAAATGTAGGACTGGGGCTCGCGCGGATTGGGGTAGGTGTGGGACTGGGGGCAGATGTGCGACTGCGGTAAATGTGGGACTGGGGCAGATGTGGGACTGGGGATGGTGCGGGACTGGGGCTTGTGTGAGACTGGGGTAGATGTGAGACTGGGGTAAATGTAGGACAGGGGCTCGCACGGATTGGGGTAGATACGGGACTGAGCTGGTGTGGGACTGGGGGCAGATGTGAGCCTGGGGCAGATGTGGGACTGGGGCAGATGTGGGACTGGGGCTGGCGTGAATTGGGACAGATATGGGACTGGGGTAGAATAGATGTAGGACTGGGGCAGATATGGGACTGGGGTAAATGTGGGACTGGGGACTGGGGTAAATGTGTGGACTGGGGCAGATGTTGGACTGGGGCAGATGTGGGACTGGGGCAGATGTGGGACTGGGGCAGATGTGGGACTGGGGCAGATGGGGAGACTGGGGCAGATGTGGGACTGGGGCAGATGTGAGACTGGGGCAGATGTGAGACTGCGGGACTGGGGCAGAGGATGGGGCTGGAGACTGGGGCAGATGTGAGACTGGGGCAGATGGACTGGGGAGTGTGGACTGGGGCAGATGTGGGACTGGGGCTGGTGTTGGACTGGGGCAGATGTTGGAGACTGGGGCAGATGTGGGACTGGGGCAGATGCGGGACTGGGGCAGATGTGGAGACTGGGGCAGATGTGAGACTGGGGCAGATGCGGGACTGGGGCAGATGTGAGGGAGACTGGGGGGGCGTAGATGTGGGACTGGGGGATGTGGGACTGGGGGCAGATGCGAGACTGGGGCAGATGTGAGACTGGGGCAGATGGGGACTGGGGCAGATGCGAGACTGGGGCAGATGTGAGACTGGGGCAGATGTGGGACTGGGGCAGAATGTGGACTGGGGGCAGATGGGACTGGGGCAGACTGGGGCAGATGTGGGACTGGGGCAGATGTTGGACTGGGGCAGATGTGGGACTGGGGCAGATGTGGAGACTGGGGCGAGACTGGGGAGATGTGGAGACTGGGGCAGATGTGAGACTGGGGCAGAGACTGGGGCGAGACTGATGGGACTGGGGCAGATGTGCGAGACTGGGGCAGAGACTGGGGATGCGAGACTGGGGCAGATGCGAGACTGGGGCAGATGGGGCAGTGGGACTGGGGCAGACTGGGGCGAGACTGGGGCAGATGCAGAGACTGGGGCAGATGCGGGACTGGGCAGATGCAGAGACTGGGGCAGATGCGGGACTGGGGCAGATGCGAGACTGGGGCAGATGTGGGACTGGGGCAGATGCGAGACTGGGGCAGATGCGAGACTGGGCAGATGGGACTGGGGGCAGATGCGAGACTGGGGCAGATGCGAGACTGGGGCAGATGTGAGACTGGGGCAGATGCGGGACTGGGGCAGATGATTGGAGACTGGGGCAGAGACTGGGGCAGATGGGACTGGGGCAGATGCGAGACTGGGGCAGACTGCGGGACTGGGGCAGATGCGGGACTGGGGCAGATGTGGACTGGGCAGATGCGGGACTGGGGACTGTGGACTGGGCAGATGTGAGACTGGGGCGTGAGGACTGGGGCAGATGCGAGACTGGGGCAGATGTGGGACTGGGGCAGACTGGGGCGAGACTGGGGCAGATGACGAGACTGGGGCAGAGATGTGGGACTGGGGCAGATGTGGGACTGGGGCAGATGTGTGAGACTGGGGCGAGACTGGGGCGAGACTGGGGCAGATGTGAGACTGGGGCAGACTGGGGCAGATGTGGAGACTGGGGCGAGACTGGGGCAGATGGGACTGGGGCGATGGGACTGGGGCAGATGCGAGACTGGGGGCAGACTGCAGATGGGACTGGGGCAGATGCGAGACTGGGGCAGATGCGGGACTGGGGCAGATGCGAGACTGGGGCAGATGCAGATGGGACTGGGGCAGATGTGAGACTGGGGCAGATGTGGGACTGGGGCAGATGTGGACTGGGGCACTGAGTCCTCCCCACTTCCGATCATCCAACAATAAAATGCATTCAGATTAAACACAGACACAGTTGATTGAAGAGCTGCTTATGTAATACATCTGAACTGGAGCGTTTACTCGTAAAAAAAATAAAATAAATAAAAAATCTGGTACAATCTGTTTAATATTCTACTGTAAAAATAACCTAAACAAGTTAATTACATAGCAAAGTTTACAAGAATAGGAGGGTCAGGGTGCATTCCTGCTGTGGCCCCGTGCACATGTGCAGTGAGTGTGGCTCCTCAGACTCTGTCAGCTCTTTCCTGTTCTGGGGAGTAGCTTCTTAATAACACGTTTTACAGGCCGCTGTCTGAAGCGTGCAGCACCATGTTTCCATCCCACAGTTATCATTAGCAACGCTCGCTCGGGTCACATGACACGGGGGAGGGGACGAGCAGAGAGGAGAGAGACGTCTTTATATCAGGTATGACGTGTTCTGCAGTTTTGTGTTTTGATATGGAGCTCAAGAGTAACCGGAAGTAAAATTTCCACTCATTTTTCCTGTCGACTTAAAAAAAAAAAAAAAAAATAGTAAGAGTCCAATGAGGTCTGTTTGGAATCCGTGTATCAATCGTTCATTCGTTTTTCAATATAAAACCAAAAATAAGAAAACGAAATAACAACAGTTTTCTTCATTATTTGTCTCCAAAACCAAAATGAAAAAACGCATAATGATTCCTTTTTTCAGTTTTCGATTTTGTGTTTAAATGAAGAATGGAAAAAACAGATAACGGCCGTTTCCCGTTTACGTGACTTACGTGGCTGCGATGGCGGATTTTGCACCGCGTACGGACTGAACCAGGACTGATCCAGGTCCGAGACCAGACCGGGACCAGACTGGGACCAGAGCGAGACCAGAGCGGGACCAGAGCGGGACTGAGACCAGAGGACCAGACCGGGACCAGACCGGGACCAGACTGGGACCAGACCGGGGAGACCGGGACCAGACCGGGACCAGACTGGGACCAGACCGGGACTGAGACCGGGACCAGACCGGGACCAGACCGACCGGGACCAGACGGGACAGAGGGACCAGACCGGGACCAGACTGGGACCAGACCGGGACTGAGACCGGACCAGACCAGACCGGACCAGACCTAGACCGGACTGAGACCGGACCAGACCGGGACCAGACTGGGACCAGACCGGGACCCAGAGACAAGACCAGGACCAGACCGGGATCAGACCGGAGGCTCAGAGCCCACTGCAGGGCCGGAGCTCGAAGCTGAGGCTCAGACTCCGTGGAGGCTTGGAGTCAAAGCTCGGAGTCCGCCCTGGTCTCCCTCTGGTCCTGCTCTGGTCCCGATGTGGTCCAGGGCCTGGATCAGTCCTGGTTCAGTCCATACACGGTGCAAAATTTCAGCATCGCACTCACGGGAAGTCACATAAACGGGAAACGGCCGTTATCTGTTTTTTCCATTCTTCATTTAAACACAAAATCGAAAACTGAAAAAACTAATCGTTATATGTTTTTTCATTTTGGTTTTGGAGACAAATAACGAAGAAAACTGTTGTTTTTACATTTTCTTATTTTTGGTTTTATATTGAAAAACAAATGAATGATTGATACATGGATTGCTTGGTCTTCTGATGTCTTGTGTTAGAGGAAAAAAGTTAGACACGACCTTATTTGTTCTAATTAATACCTGATAATACTGATCCATAAGCAAAAAATAGGACCAAAAATTTTTTTTTTTAAATGTAGTGAATAAAAAAATTGTACTCAACTCAATGCTTTTTGTGCATCAAGGGAGGTCACTTAGGCTACGTTCAGACTGCAGGGCTTAACTCTCAATTCTGATTTTTTTGGTGAAATCCGATGTTTTTGCGAGGTCGTTCACATTTCCAGTTAAATGCGACTTGTATGTGACTCCAGTGTGAACATTAAACAGCCCAATTGTGTCCGCATGTGCACTGGAGACACGATGACGTTTACCACAGCGAGCGTCTCTGTGTTTACGGAAGTTGTCCAAACATGGACGCGAGAGGATTGAGCACCTGGAGATTTTAAAGTTCCTCTCGTACTGGAGCCAGAACATGAACAACTTACTTGTTTTTTTAAGGAGGAGATTGAGAAGGAGAAGGACGAGGTTTTTGGCCGTGGTGTTTTGTGGGACAGCGGCGGCAGCGACGTCTGTAGAAAGGAACATGTGGATGTGGAGACGTAGCCAAGAGTGGTGAGTGGCGATGTGTTTCACTTCAGTGACACAGAGTTCATTAACAATTTTCGCCTACTTCAGCGCAGAATAGTGACGTTTGTGGCTTGTTGATAACGTGTAGGTCGGATGAATGCGCTTTGGCTGTTCAGACTGAAGTCGCATGTCAAAAGATCAGATATGTATCGGTTTTAGGACCACATATCCAAGTGTCCTGGGTCACATTTGAAAAAAATCGGATCTGTGTCATTAAAAGATCAGATCACATAGGGGCCAAAAATTGGATTTGGGTGACTTCAGGCTGCAGTCTGAACGTAGCCTATGTCGGGCAGAATATCATTACGTTGGTAGATCACATTAAACAAGTTTGAACGCTTTGAAAGGCATATGTGGTGACTAATGACCACAAGACCTATAACATTTAAAATATGTTCCTGAAACATTATAAAAGACTAAGTTATAAGAACTTTTCAACAAATCTTGAGTTTTAAATGTGCTTTTTGGACTTACAAAACCTGTTGTAGGTATTACTTAGCACATAGTCTTAGCCTAGATGTTTTTGAACATTATTAGGTCATTTTTTCAGACCAAGAGTTTGTTTTCATAACTGACAGTTTCGACTGCTCACTGGCGGTCTTCTTCAGAGTGGTTACTGTCTCATACCTGACTCAAACTGTCAGGTGTGAAAACAAACTCTTCGTCTTAAAAAAAAACAACTAATAACATCAAATATTAAGAGTTCAAAGACATCTAGGCTAAGGCTACGTGATGAGTAATATTCACAACTGGGTTTTTAAGTCCAAAAAGCACATTTAAAACTCAAGATTCTGTGAACATTTGTTAACTAGCTCAACTTAGCCTTTTATAACTTTTCAGGAGCATATTTTAAATATTATAGGACTTGTGGTCTTTAGTCACCACACATAGATGATCATGCCTTTCAAAGTGTTCAAACTAGTTTAATGTCATATATCAATACAATGATGCTGTGCCCAAAGTAATGATCTCTCTTGGATGCACAAAAAGCTTATACGTGTTTTTATTCACTATGCAGCATCCAGTCGAACTGAGACGGCCAGAACTGATGGTTAAATGACTTTTAATCTTTCCTTGCCGTGTCATAGAACCAACGTAAGAGCCAGACAAGAACAAAATAACAGCAATTACCATACGTTTACAGCATCACTAGCTCATTACATTGCTTAACCGTTATCCATATTTAACATTAATTTGATACAAGTGACAAGAAGTTCAAATATACATTAACAAGTCAAACAAACCTTGTTCCCCTGTCGACTGTAGCCATCTTTACTTTGTTTTATATAACTTTTCTCCGTTGTTTTGATTTTCACTATTAACGTTGCCGTGTTTACTGTGCGTCGTTTCTTTATAACGTTTTTTTCCTTCACTTCCGTTCACACCGGAAGTTATCAAAATAAAAGCGCAACCTTACAATTAAATGCCATAAACCGCGTGTTAATGTATATAAGAGCTAACTTGACCTTTACACACTACATTGTAAAAAAAATTAGGTTTGGTCCTATTTTTTGACTTATGGATCAATATTCTGGTTCTATAAGGTTGTGTTTAGATTAGATAGTTTTCCTCTAACTCAAGACAGGGTTGTCCATTAAGCCCAGTTTTATTCAGTATCACTATTGAACCCCTGACAATTATGATGAGGGAATCTGTCCAGTTGGTTGGAAAACAAAGAGGAGGGAAAAGTCACAAACTTTCCCTTTACACTGATGACCTCTCACACCACTATTCCTATTGCTGTTAACTTTATAAACAAATATGGGCAGGTGTTCAGATGTAACTTGTCTAAAAGTATACTTTTCCAATAAAAAAAAAAATTTAATTAAAAACTTTCCCCTTCAGAATGAATAAGGACCATTTTAATTACTTTGGGTGTCACCTGTGATTATAACTTACTACTGGAAAATTATTTCACAAAGTCTCTAGAAAAAGCCAAACAAGATAATGCATGAATAAGTGGTCTGAACTCCCCTTGTCACTGGTCAGACTCCTTGAAAATGATCATCATGCCTACATGCTTCTATACCTGTTTCAGACTCTGTCAGTCTTCATCCCTAAAACCTTCTGTAAATGAACGGAATAAGCACATGTCCATGTTCATTTGGAATAAAAACGTCCCTCAAATCAAAAAAGAGTTCTCAGAAAGACGGTAAGAGGATGGTGGTTTATTCTTACCCAACTTTCATCTTGTTTCTGGGCAACAAACCTCCACAATCAACTGTTTTGGGCTGCAAAGACGTCAGAGGTGGATTCTCCATCTTGAAGAGCACTCTAGCAATCCCGCTTCACTCTCGTTTCTTTTGTGTAGTGTACTACCTTTGAGTAAATGTCTGTGGACAAACAATGTTGTTCAGGGCACTTTAAAAATATGGTCACAATTTAGAGGCCATTTTATATACAAAGGGTCCCTAATTTCAGCTCTTTTTCAGCGTAATGTCCATTTAGCCCCATCTTTAATAGGCCCATGCTTTCAGCAGTGGCATAGGAGAGGACTAAGATAAATGAAGGATCTTTTTTAAAATGATACATTTATTTCCTTTGAACAGCTAAAAATTACTTTGATGGCCACAATCAGATTTTTATCTGTGTCTTCAACTGTGTAGTTTTGTTATAGCAGCTTTCTCTTTAACCTTGGCCCCAAAAACATGGCTCAGTGTTTAGATTTGAATCCTCTTGATAAAGGATTTGCGTCAGTCATTTACAATAAAATTTGAAGTGCCTCCTCCTCGTCACTGGGCCACTTCAAAATTCAATAGGAAGAGGAATTAGGTGAACATTTCACAGATTAACACTAGGCAAAAAGCAACCACAAGAATCCATTCAACATTGATTTGCAGAAGATACGACTTGTTACAGTTTAAGGTTCTGCACAGGCTTCATCTGTCAGGCTGTACGCTGGTGCATCCTGGTGAGGATCCTTCCTATATGAGGTGTGGTCAGGGCTCAGCCAACCTGAGCCACATGCTCATGACCACATGACTTCTGGGAGAAAATATTCAAAACTATTTCATTTATATGTGGCAAATTGTGGAACAGCTTTGTTGATGACATCAGTTGCAAAGTATCAATTGAAATAACTATTCTGATTGAACTGTGAAGAGATAAACCATTTGATTTATCACAAAAACAGCCCTGTAAAAATGAACAAAGGCAATAGTACATTTAGTTATTTTTAATTAAAGTTACTGTTGATTCGCAACTATTATCTCTCAAGGAGCCTCCATGTGGCACATTTTAGTTTCAACTGGTTAAAATTAATCTGAAAACATCTCCAAGGTTCAATAAAAATAATTGCTGGCTAGTCTACTTCTAAAATAATCATCAACTGAAACTTAATCTGAGCAACACTTTTGTACATTTATTAGAATTTATAAATCTACACTGGGCTGTTCAGATACATTTTTCAACATTACCAAGAAGAGAACCCAGTTAAAAATCACAAATAATTGTACATTACTCTAAATGCTAATAGCAAAGATGTTTTTTTAAAATGTTTTTGCTTAATTATGCTTGAGGTTTTCACTGTATGTTTTGTCATTTTGTAATAAATATACTAAACTAAATATATGTGATTCTTTACCACTTTAGAGTCTATTCCAAACATGGCGTCAAATATGTTTTAAACGTGGGAAAGATGGAGATAAAGTCAGTGTTACAAAAGTCATAAATGTATGCGAACAGAACCTGTGTAGACCTTTTATTTTTCACTATTCCTCTGGTTTGTTTAGTGTTGGGAAGTATAAACACGTACCAAAAATACATATTCAGAAAACTCATTCAGATTTAAAGTTCGACTACAGTGTGACTGCTCTATCACAAGCCAGATCTGTGGAGAGTCGCCCCTATTCACAGAAGGAATTTTTGTATTTTTGAGCAATCCTTTTTGAAAAATTGAGCAAAGGTGTTTTTCTTTTTGTCACCATCTTCTAGAGACATTAACAATAACAATAATCTACAGTGGATTTTATCGAGAAGGGATGGAATGATATTTTAATTGCGGTAAAACAGATTTGGGTTTTGGAAATATTTTTACACTAAGAGTAAACTGCAAGCCTCTGATTACTTTTCCAAATGATACTTGTCTGTTTTTTGCAAATTAACTCTTTTTAATAATAGCAAAATCAAGGGAAAACATGGTGGCACTTGATCGTGGAAATGACTCTTTGAAACACAGATGAAGTATTTCGACATTTTCGTTTTATTTTTAGTATTGGCGCTTTTCAGATTAAAGAATGTGATGCTGTCATTCTCCCACACTAGAGGAAAGAGACAGTTTTGTTTGTATTCTTTGCAATTAAATATATAAAAGCGAACTTCACAAATGTTGAACCTGATCATTTCTGTTATAAACTAGGTACAAGAACTCCCTGTGTTAGATCTGTCTTAAATCAGTATTTTTGCAATATTAGTTTAAGATGAATGTTGTGATGACGTCTGGATTGGATTGTCAAAAGTATAGAAAATATGACACTAATCGAGACTTAAACTAGTTTGATTTGAGCAGGTATCAACGCTAAAAACGTCACATAAACTGGATGAAAATGAACCTTTCCTGAATAGTTTTAGAATGATCTTGAGCTGTATCAAAACAAGAATAAAAGCACATAGACTCATGGCATTGTTTCCTAAAGATTGGGTCGCAACAATCAGGTGGGTCGCAAGAGATTTTTATTATTTTTGTTGGGGGGGGTCGTCTTGTCACGATCTGCATGTAGGTTCACAATACACTGTTCACGTGCTGAAAGTGTTAAGTATGTTTTGTATCATTTCTAATTGTTTTGTAAATGACTATTTTGATCCAAAATATGTAAAAGGTAAAAGATGTTTACTTGAAAACTACCGCTTTATGACATCGCAAAACGGAACAGAGCATTTTGAGTTTTGGAGATGTAGACAGACTAACAACAAAGTGTTACTAAAGTGTAAACGTGAATGAAACTAAACTTAACTACGGGTATGTTTTTTTTTGTGACATGACAAAAAGCTCACAAGAGTTAATTTTGTGTAATATGGGCCATTGTTTCCCAAAGACTGGGTCGCGACACTCAGGCGGGTCACAAAAGATTATTTTTGGGTCGACTTGTCACGATCTGCAATATACAGTAAAGTTCTGACAAAGGTTAAAATGTTAAGATATTTTGTATCATTTCTAATCTTTTTATAATGATTTTATTGACTGTTTTGTTCCAATATTGCTGGTTCAATTCAATGTTGAAAAGAAAAAGAAACGGGCTACGTTTAATGTCCAAATAGGCGACTTATGGATCCTTTTATTGCTGCTTCAATGACTGTTTTTCATTGTTTAAATCTTGAGTAAAACTAATTGTTCAGAGAGACACGATCACTCAGTCAACAATAAAATCCTCATTAATGTACAATATTGCTCAACTCCATCGTTATTTTGTGATTTACGAATAATGTCGATTGACTTGGGTCGTGAAGGTTTTGACTTTTAAAATATGGGTCCCCAGAAAAAAAAAAACTTTGGGAAACACTGATCTGTAGAACCTACATGGATGACAACATAAACATAAAAGTATAGTACATAGTAAAACAAAGTACTATGATTTAATGTTGAAATAGTCAGATAGTTTTTGTTCTTATCGTCCTGGTATTAGGATCAGTATTGCTGCTTTTAGTCCCAAGATCTAGAACAAATTTAAAATGAGCTTCGTTCCAGCTGCTATCATACTTGAAAATAAATTGTAATCTATTTATCTATCAATTTTAGTATATTTGTCTTGTGTTTTTATATATATTTAATATTTATTATGTTTTTAGTCAAGCGTGATGGATGAATTTAACTCATTGTTTATGGAACAAACCATTCTACACTGGAGCACTGTAACACTTTAGTTTGTAATTGTGTGTTTATACGCGTTTATTGCATCATGTGGAAGAATGAAATGTGAAATGTGGGACCAGACTCTTAAATCTGCAAAACAAATGTACCTAAGGGTACGAATAAAGCAACCTAACCTAACCTAACCTTTCTTAGTATTGAAATCAAGTTAGAAATGATAGAAGTGTAACAAAACTACACCTGAAAACCATATTTATTTATTTTATCCTTGTCTAACTTTTACATGGTCACCAGCTACAGACGTTTATCAGCTTTTTCAGTCCTAAAAATGGCGATGACTATAGCTATGCCGCTCCTCGTCGCCTCTAAATGGCAGCACCTCAGCAGTGTCCATACATAATGCATACAGAAGTCACTGGCCTGGGGTTTAAACAGAGGGGAGTCAGGACCCCCCCCCGGGCCCACCCTATTGCTCTTTGTGATGTATTCGAGTGCATTAATGCCTGGTTTATTGTTGTTCTAATGGGATCTCTGCCTTTCGGATGCCAAGGGACCGGGGACACAAAATGGCTCCTTTGGCTCGACTCCTGCTGCTATTTACACAGAGTCCTATTATAATGCAATGTCACCGTAATGAAAGAGGAAGAGGCCAGGAGGTGGGGTTTGTCAGTTTAGCAAAATGTAAAGTGCTTGTGAGGATAGGACAGGAAATTGGGGTTTGAGTGGATAAATATTGCCTACGATTAAAATAGAAAGAAGTTGTCAGGCACTTTCTCGGTTATATAATGATAAATAAAGATAAAAATACGACTACTGCTGCTGTTATTGCGATCATATCAAGACAAAATACAAAAATTGCATCAAGATTTCAAAAATACTTAAATACTTGTTGTTGTTGTTGTTGTTTTTGTCTTAATACGACTAAATAATGAGAAATGTTTAAAAAAAAATGAAATAGTATCTCCACCTATGCAGAAAAATGTAGTAATTTACGTCTAATTAAACATTTAAAAGTGGAATTTCAAGTCGTTAATTGGAAAGAGAAAGAACTTGAATCAAAAATATTTTAGCAAAACTATAAATTGTTTCCCTTTTCATCCAGAATATACAAAAATATTTTAGTTACAGCGTAAGGATGAGGGATTTAACTAGAATGTGGTCTTCTATACAACTATTATTCAAAAAGTTAAAAGATGGAAAACAAAAAAATGATGTGATTTTGGCCGTAAAGATCTGTCTGGACTAGAATGAACTGATCTAACAATGATGAGGTGGTAAAAGATTTGACTTTCTGACTGCATTCAAACCTTTCACGGGCAAATTATGTTTTAAATCACCTTTTAATTGTAACTTTCAGACTCTACATGTGGGCACATTCAAGCCAGTGATTTAGCAGTAATAATCATCTCAATTATAAAGAGAATAAAGGCAAAACACACAGGGCGTCAATGTACCATTTTATTGGACTTATATAGAAATACTTAAAAAAACATGAATTAGCACCATTACTTAAGTCTTACTTTTATCATGTATAACTTTAAATGTCAGAAAAATAAAACTCTTGATACATTTTCAAATCTTGTCTCAGCAAATATAATATTAGTATTCGACCATGAGGTTAAAGGCCCTTTATCATAAAATAAAATATACTTTGTTCTTAAACTTTGCTCAATAAAGTACATTTACGCTCAAGTAACGTCACCTACATATACATAAACAAGTGGTAAACAAATGTAGTAAAATAGAATTACTAAAACTATAGTGGTGCAACAGAAGCCTGTAATTCCCACTGGATTCTAATTCATACAAATTTTAGAAAGCATAAACGGTTTCTTTGTGTTCAACTTACTAAGTTTTGTACATTTCAATGTTTGTAATAATATAGAATAAAATATGCTTTATATTACTGAATAGAAAATATGCTGGGTGAAGCAGAGTCAAAAGACATTTTTTTGCTAAACCTATAAAAACTCCATCCCAACAGAATACTGTCAAATGCAATACACATGGTGAGGACCAGGGTTCCTCCCTCTGTCGTATAATATTAAAATAATACAGTGATCACTGCCATAAGGCCATACTACAAAATAAACAAGATTTCAACCCAGCTACAAAAAGTTCACTGAACTTAAATTAAAATATCTGTAAACATCTTTGCAATAAGAAATATAATCTTTCAAGTCAAAAAAAGAATAAAATACTTCAATCTGTATGAATGTCATTAAAACTTTCAACTTGCTGAAATTGATTCTATACATATATATGTAGGATATGTTGCGCTCCCTCGTGTGGTTACAGCTGCAGTATCGTCCGCGTCCTGTAGGAGCCCCACGCCCTCCTCACTACATTTGGGAGGCTTGGCTAAAAACCTGCTTCCACCAAGAGACCAGGCACTGCTCAGACTGGGTTTAAAGGTTTTCCACTGGGACTCCACCAGGCAGGAAACACCGACTGGAGCAAAAGTGAAATATTGAAAGCGCTTAAGAATCAGAGGAGTCCCCCAAAAGACGCTCCCCGCATATGCTTCGATTTCGATAGCAATAATGACATCGGATTAAAGGGTGGGGCCAGGCATGCTGCAGTGCACAGATCAAGTCTCCAACAAGGTAATAGGAAAAAGAGGACATATTTTTCATCAATTGTTTGCAGATTGGATTGAATGTAACAGACACAACCAGCTGCCAAAACCACGCAGCTATTGTTTTGTGATTGTGTATGGAGAATGACAACCTTATCATTGCCTTGTGGCGCACTCACCCACATGAGAGAAACTAGGTCAGGATTTGAGCAGCGCTGTGTACCTCTTGGTGGAAACAAAATCAGTCCCACCGTGTCCTTAACAATTCATAAATATAGAGTACAATTTACTAGAACTATTGAGTACTATGCTGTAATATTCAAAACATGCACTTAGATGTTGAAAATATTCCCCACGCTACAGTATATTATGAACAACTATACGACGGAGCCCAAAGAAGAGGTCTGTCCCCTCACCTGATACTGCAGCCTCTTACATACATATGTATATCTATGTACACTTTAAAGCAGGTTCAAAGAAGAAAGAGTCACTTGTTGCTATTGTCAAGGGGGTCTCACATACGGAGATACAGTCACAAAAATAAGTTCTTATGAAAATATACGAATGGCCTGAGTGACGCCAGTGTGGCAGACAGGGCATCTGGGCTCGCTCCTCTCGCAGATCCGGTTGGCACACTCCATACAGAAGAGGTTATGCCCGCACGGGACCAGGGCGGCGATCACCTCGCTCTCGAAGCACACGGAGCAATCGCGGCTGCCCTTCCTGCTCGTGCCCGATGACGTCGAGGAGGAGGAGGAGGCGGAGGAAGAGGCTGACGAATCACAGGGGATGCCGGGGAGGTGTGGTCCGGGCAGAGAGGCAATGCCGCTGGAGTAGGAGGAGGGGAAGCTGAGAGACCCACCGCCCGGGTCACTGCGGACTCTGCGGGCTAGTGTGTGCTCGCCGGTGCCCCCTGTATGGCTGTGGAGGGGAGGGGAGAGCCTGGGCTGTGGGGTGCCGCTGTTGCTCACCCGTCTCCCGTTGTTATTGTTATTATTGGCGGAGAATATGGCTGAAGTGGAGGTAGGAGAACTTCCTCCGGTCGATGTGGGGGTCATGCCTCTCTCATACTGGGACCACAAGAGTCCTGGGGGGGCCGGGGTGGGGTCGAACGTCGGCGACGAATCGAACGCCATGTTGGTCGAGTCTGGAGAGATGACGTCGCTCCCGTAGACGAACCCGTTGGCGTTGTTGATGTTGTTGTTATTGTTGTTGCCGTTGTTGTTGTTGTTGGCGGTGTAGCTCAGCGCGGGGCTCGGGGGGCTGTAGTCGGCCATGCGGGAGCTGCTGTTCCCAAAGTAGGAGTCCGTGGAGGCACTGCCCAGGGAGGAAGAGGAGTCGTTGCGGTAGTTGGAGAAGGGTTTACGCACCGAAGATGGCGTCATGGTGGTGGCGCCCGGTTTGGACCACAAGGAGGCGTGGTTGTGCAGATCGAACCCAACATCTGTCCCGTTGGCGTGGAAATCGTTGTCGTCTTGTAGTTCGATAATGCCGCCCGTTCTCATGGCGATGTGGGCTTCGATTTCTTCCCTGGCGCGGTCCACGTTTTCGGGCATGCCGGTCACTTCGAAAACAGGCTCCTTGTCTCTGCTGGGAGTCACTATGTACGTGTGCGTCTGCTGCTGGATGCGCTTGATGGTCGCACCCTTCGGGCCGACCACCAGCCCCACCACGCGGTAAGGCACCCGGACCTGGATGGTGGTCTGTCCCGGCAGGTTGGGGGGTCCCGGGATGGGGGTGCCGCTCCCATTCACGCTGGTGTTTTTGTTCCTCGAAGCTCGGATCATGGAAAAATGTTCCGCCGCGGAGATGATTTCCCTCCTGGCCATAGCCACATCCTCCCTTCGCCCGGTCACCACAAACACAGGCTCCTCTCCTCTGACCGGCGTCTTGATGTACGTGTTAGTTTTGGCGCGCAGTGCTTTGATCTTGCAACCTGGAGGCAAAGAAAGAGAGGCGTGCGTAAGAGCAAGTCCCCAAAAAATAACAGATCGAATTGGGTCATAGGGTACAGCTTAATGTTTCTTATCCTTTATCCAAAGCAGATGCTACGTGTTTTTTATTATGTCTAAAATGGACTCAAGAACAGGGGGATCCCACCCTTTTTTTTGGTGGAATTCAAACCACATGCACCACTAAGACCCACAACACAAACTACCTCAAACAAAATCAGCAGCAACACTGAATCCAACCAAATTATTCCACATCTTTCCAAGTTCGTAACATAAACATCGTTCATCACCAAGCGAAATTTGTGAGAAGAAACGAGTCTAAAGAATGACTTATATTAGGAGGGCATATCCAGCTGAGTGGGAAAGGGTGATGTAAGGTGTATAGCTCAACTGAATGAACGCAGCTCACCCTGAAAGAGACACACCATGCACAATTTCGGTTAAACAAGGATAGTCGCTTTTACGCAGCTATTTTTAACCTCTATGCCTCATCTGAGTGGTCTTTTTTTTCTCTTTTTCTTATTTTTATCTGACCCAATTTTGCAAGTATAAACAGTTGTTATAGCAATGTAATTTATAGTGAACGGGGTTGTAAATTTTGATGAAGAACAATCACACTAGTAGTGGCAGACAGCAGAGGCATTGCAGATGGAAGATTCCGCATTTGTAACCGAGCACCAGAACCCGCCCTGCAGCCCCATACCGCTGGATGTATGTTGTCAGGTCTACGTACTGCGCTGCACTCGCCGTCTAGCGCCTCGGGGGCAATGCACAGGATCGTGACTGTTGTCCCAATTCGATCCTCTGCTGCCGGTTCGCTCCCCCTAACGTCATGAGAGTAACGAAAACAAACGAGGCGACTGCGTTGGAAATAATTTGCGCCTAGAAGGAACTACATCTGGGGTCAGCGCGAGAGCTATTCTGAACTCCCTACCCTCTGTGACCTACTTGTCCTCATTTGCCAGATAATTACAGTAATAACCCGACAGCACTGCAGACACTCGCTCAAATTAGGTTAGAGGCGAGTCCGTGTTTTTATTGTGAAGTTTTCTAATTATGGCGTTTTTTTTTTTTTTGTTTGTCTGTTGCTCCTCAAAAGCGACCACCATTCACTAATAAAAAAAAAAAAGAGCCAGTGACTACAAGAGAGACCCGCTTTACCAGGAACTATCCCGCACCGAACGACAAGAACTGCTACGATTCTGCCACAACTGTGCGCTTTTGTCCTGCGTTCACGTCTGTTTTGAATTATTATGAATGGACCCAAACACGAGTGGATCATGCTGTACCCTACTACAGTCTGGTAACGCGCAGTCTGGCCATGTAACGCAGCACTGACCACGTTGTATGCGCTAAAATCTTGCAGTAGACAACGGGAATTGATCACTTCAGACAGGGAAATTTAAAAAAAACTTGAGTTCGGAGTGTCTTTTTTCGCTTGGAAGACGCTCCACGCTGCCAGCTACCGCCCACTACTGTTTATTTATAGTGGAGGAACAATGTGTGACTAAACGGCCAGACAGCAGACTAACTCAAGTTTAAGATTGATGGAAGTACTATCAGGAGGTGCTAATTAACATTGTAAAAGCTGGAGAGATCGCGATGGCATTTTTACGCGCGGTCAGTATCCCCCCCTCCTCATGCGTACTACTACTGCGTAACATGCCGATACGGGCTTTTAAGAGTGCGCCCCAACTCACCTTGTCTGCCCACTATCTCGGCCACATGCTCCGAGCTCGGCACCGGGACGCACTCGGTCATGTTGACGCTCTTCTTGCGCGGTTCGTTGCTGTCGTAGAGGCCGTTCTCGTCGTTGTCCAAGCCGAGCAAGGAGAGCTGATCCAAGGCTATCTGCAGAGCCCTTTGGTCGTCCAGCGCGTCTCCCTGGTGGTGGTGGTGGTGGTGGTGGACGCTGCCGCTCTCTGTGGCGAACAGCGAGCTGGGCATCTTCTCCCGTCACGTCTCCTCTCGCGCGTGGGATTTGGGGTAAAACTAGGAGAGGAAGTAGGCGAGGAGGAGGAGAGGAGAGAGGAGGGTAGGAGCAGGATAAGGGGAGAGGCGCCGATTTTTGCAACGGCCAGTGCAAAGTAAATCAGTGCGAGAAGAAATGAAAACAAGAGGAGCGAGGAGTTACAAAAAACATCCACTCCTTTTGGTTGTATCCCGTCGCAGCAGTGGCGCGGGGGGAAGTCGTCAAAGCAGGAGAGGTGGGGGGGAAAAGAAGCAAATATACAAAACGAGAACAACGCGTGGTAAATCCAAAGCTGCGCGTAAGGATCGTTTCAAATATTCCTGACAAAAACAGCCCCTCCCCGGTTCGTTTCTACTGCTGCTGCTGCTGCTGCTGCTGCTGCTCGCTGGCTTCCCTCGCTCCTCTGCTTCTTCTGTCTGGGTCTGAGTCCTCGAAAATCGGCTAGACACAGAAGATGCGCCGAGTGATGTCACTGGGCGGGGACGATGCGGCGCTGGGAGCTCGTTTAGCCAAAGCGCGCGCTCATTGGCCGCTCCGGAGCCGAGGGGGCGGCGCACTGGCGCAAAGTCACGGCCCATTCTTTGTTCTCAGCCTACCTCTTTGTCCCCCTCTCACCGCTTTTTGGTTGTTTTTGTCTGTTTAGTTGGTGTTTTTTTTCTTTTTTTTCCTTCCTCCTCCTTCTTCTTCTTCTTCTTCTTTCTTTCTTTCTTTAGCTGAGTTTAAAGATCAGCCTTTACGCGCACACACTCACGCCACACCACCACGACCTACTCAATAAACTTGTTAATCAATAGCCACGCATGTGTTTAAGCGCAATAACAGTTTGTTTGGTCAGTGCGCCACTGTAAAATTGAGCAATGAAAAACATATGTTGTTTTTTAGGGGTTTTGGATTCACTCGGTGCGTTCAGGGGAGCGTGTGCATAGCAGCAGCAGCCTGAGTCTACGCTACGCTATATGGGCCACTGTAGGTCATTGGGTTTATCTGGGGAGACGGGAGCAGGGTGGGACAGTGCGGAACAACTGGAGATCCATACTGATCCATATTTTTTTGTCTTGAATCTGAAAACCGGTCTTCCGTGAGATGTTTGCGTAATAGTTGCAGCCAAATCGTTTTCAAGTCTACCTACAAGCAAAACAAGACCTCAATTTAAGACAAATCTCTACACACAGGTCAACCAAAACAATTTAAAATGTAACTTCTAAAGCAATTTGATGAAATGCTACCCTTGCTGGACTATAGTCGTTCATTTGGGCCAATTCATTAATCATTTATCGAGAATTTTTATGTGTTTATTGAGTATTATAAGCCTAGTACACTAGTCACTTGTTATTGTTTTTTTTCTTTGGTAAATTTGTGGTGTTACCTGCCTAAGAACTACAGATATAAATTAGTATTTTTGCTGTAATCTTGCATATTTGCTGGACTATAGTTGTTTATTTGGGCCTATTCATGAATTATTTATCAATTATCATGTATTTTTATGTGTTTATTGCGTATTATAAGCCTAGTACACTAGTCACTTCACTACTGTTTTTTTTCTTTGTTAAATTTATGGCATTTCCTGCCTAGGAACTACAGATATAAATGAGTATTTTTGCTATAATCTGACATATTTACACTGAAATGTTGTACATGTTCATTAATATGCACTGTCCCTATTAAATAAGTAAGTAAATAGCCTAATATTTATTGCATTTATATGTATATACGTACAGTCAAAATAACCAGAGGGACTGTTATATTAATAATACTTCCACTTTTATTGAATTAATAATTGAAATAATAATTATATAGCAATAAGGCAGATTTCTTAGGATCATAAAATCTTAAACGTCTCATGTAATTTGATCAAAAATTTGCTAAACCATAGTTGTTTACCTGGGCGTATTTACTTAGAAGCAAAACGATACTTCAATTTACAACAAACGACTTCAATTTACGACAAATCTCTACACATAGGTCAACCAAAACAATATAAAATGTAACTTCTAATGTAATTTGATGAAATGCTACCCTTGCTGGACTATAGTTGTTTATTTGGGCCAATTCATGAATCATTTATCAAGTATTTTTACGTGTTTATTGAGTATTATCAGCCAAGTACACTAGTCACTTGTTATTGTTTTTTTCTCTGTGTTACCTGCCTAGGAACTACAAATACAAATTAATATTTTTGCTTTAATCTGGCATATTTACACTGCAATGTTGTAGATGTTCATGAATATGCACTGTCCCTATTAAATAAATAAGTAAATAAAAATAAAAAAATATAGTAGTAGCCTAGTATTTATTGAATTTATATGCATATACATACAGTCAAAATAACCAGAGGGACTGTTTTATTAATAATACTTCCACTTTAATTGAAATAATAAATGAAATAATAATTATACAGCAATAAGGCTGATTTCTAAGGATCATAAAATCTTAAACGTCTCATGCAATTTGATAAAAAATTTGCTAAACCATAGTTGTTTACCTGAGCTTATTTGTTGATTTTACTTCCAAGAATCTACCACACGTTTTTCACCTCATTTCATACGCACGGTTTGACGCTTTTGTAATATTTTAATTGGACTTTTCTCTGGCACGGACGTGTGAATTGCATTGCACCTATAGCCCCCCGCGGTGCTTTGTGCCGTGGAGGAATGACATCATCCCTCCGAGCTCTGAATCAAGCGGGTGACCTCATTGCCGCTCGATGCTTCACTCGGGCTCTGGCTCCTTCTCTCACCTCTCCAGGTATAAAAATAATTCAATATCCTTATGTCTACGGGCGTACGCGTTTACTGTACGTCCCCGAAATGCAGTAAGTGATCCAATCCTGACCAAACGTGAGGTCATGCCGTCTGTTCCATTACATTAGATCAGCCGGCCACAAACCCCGTCTACTTAACCCAATAGAGGTCAGAGAGAGAGGATGACCTAAGCGCCTAAACTACACGCCAACATCGACTTGACAGTAAAAAGACACATAATGGTAATAAAGGTATAACAAAACAGGCTTAATGTCCTCCACATGATGCAACCCAGCGCAACACGCTCAGACGTATAACATGGAGAAGAGGGGGGGAAGGTGGGCGCGGGGCTGAGGACCAAGTAAACAACATATGTGATAACAATAGGATCGTGTCGAAACGTGAGGTTTTGAAGCGAGAAAAATGAACATTTGAAAATACCAGATGTCATATAGATGTTTAATGTTGAGATGTTGAATTTTTGTAATGTATTTTAAGTATAAACAAAGGGAAATATAACTAATAACTGCACATAACATAACAGGGTAAATTAACACTATTTTTTTTACATAAAGCTGGACAAGAATTGAGGACTAAACCAGGTTCAAAAACAGGAACAAATCGCAAATATAGATGTCCTGCTTTGGTCCTGGTTTGATCTGAGTTTAGTCCTGGTGTAGACCTGGTTTACCCTGCGTTAGATTATCCTTCCAATTCCCACTTGGACCTCGGATTTGACGTCACATCTGAGCTTGAAGCGCTTTATTATGTTTCGCGGGTCGGACTACGTGGATTATGATTATGACTATTCCCTCATTTTGTGAAAATGCTTAAACGCCACTTTAATTAATACAATTTTTCGAATTTGCACTTCATTTTATGTTATGATTTCTCTTACATTACAACTTTAGGGACATTAAATCACTAAATAAAACCATTAAATCAAGTATTTGTTCAATATTGACCTCTCTACAACACCGACTGCCACACTCATAGGCAGTAATGCCGACGCAGTAAAGTACTGCAGTAATACGAGTGACTGAAATTGTCATTTAAACCACCAAAGTGTCCAAACGCAATGAAAACAGTTCATATTTATTCGTCACAGTGAGCACAGCCATCTTGGAATCCTTGATCGGTCTACTTTTTCTGTCACCGAGGTCCGAGTCGCGCCATCCCAGGAAAAGGGTAAAGCAACTTCCAAAGAAAAACGATTCAAAAGGATAATCGTGGTTTCGCTAGAAGTTGTAGACGATGCACCGGCCAATCAGTGAAGATCTTTGAAGCCATGACGTCAAACTCAAGTGCCTTCTGGGTCCTTTTGTGGTACATCACAACAGTAAACAAAGCGGTCGAGATGGATGTAGACGAAGACAGACATTCTGTGTTGGCAACGATTACCGAGATCAGGGATTTAAAGCCGAAACAAAGAGAATGTTTGGTGAATTTTATCAAGGGGAAAGACGTTATTGCCCTTCTTTCTACGGGATTTGGCGCATGACCAAACAGCAGCGGCTGGTTAAATAAAAAAAAAAGTCCCCGCCTACTGTCGAGCGAACAAATCCTAATGCTGCGAGGTCAGACGGTTTCCACGAAATGAAACCGTCTGATGAATCAGGCTCGGTTTCCGCCAGGTTTGGTTCTAAATTTAGTCTCACTTTGGCACTTTTGAACACGCCCTTGCATAGAATGATCCAGGGACTAAAGGAGGGCAAGTGTGAACACGTACATATATTTTTATTTTATTTTGAACATAGTTTAGTTTAAAATAAGGGACTAATTTGCTTTGTAGTAAACATAACATTTTAAATACAGTGAGCTCATTATTACATACAGTAAAACTTGCATGCATCTAATCTGAAAACAGCTCAAAAACAAGCCATTTTTTCCTCCAACATCTGAATAAAACCACTTCCTACCAGCTCAAAACCCATTGTACTGGAACATTTTTACGCTGCTTCTATTGAAAACCACCACTGACATCCTTTTTTTTTTTACTGTATTTGAAGTCTGTCCTGTGATTGGCCGATTACCTAATGCCTCCAGAGACCGGTCTTTGATATGTAAATCCACTGTATTTGCTTTTGAATGGTTTTGTCACATGCGGCGATTGAACAGACTAACTACGTGCTGATCTCTGTTTGCATCTACAGTGTTTTAAATAAATAAAGCAGCTGTTGTTGCTCGGTGTAACTTAATACCAGGCGGGTCAGACTGTATTGACTGGGCACATGAGACAGAAATAGTGGCAACTTTTCACTTTCTCTTTGTTGTTGCTCATAAAGCTTTTACGATCCTGTGTAAATGTATTTATATAAACAGCAAAAACATAAGTGTATTGTCAAAAAAGAAACAGATATTAGACGCTATTATGCAAGGATTAAGCCAAGGTTTTGAATAGTTTTGAATAAAGTGTAGTGTGCAGCTTTTACAGTTACTTTGAGATGTCATTGCTTTACCTCCAATATTCCAAATTATGGCCTTACGCTTTTTAATCTCCATAGAAACAAGCAGAGCCAATTTAAAGGTGTAATCTGCGAAGAGGCGACTCCACTGACGGCATTTTTAGAGATAAAAACACCCAGAATCTAATCAGTTTAATACTATACTGTGGAACATTACAGGCAAAGCAATAGCCAATCCCAAATTCTCCACGGTAGCTGACCCCCAACCTGAAAAG